CTCTGAGAAGGCGAGAGGGAATGCTGTCTGAGGTGCAGTTTGTCGGCGGCAGGTGCTTGACAACATCCGAGAGAGAAGAGAGGGATACAAGCTCAAAGTGGTCAAGGAAAGCAGGGCACAGAAAAGGAGCAGAATCTGGGGTAGCACTAGTGTGGGCTAGCCTAAGCGCAGATACTTTTTTGATAAAAAATGTAAGAAATGTTTCGCAGAGGGTAGTCGATGGAACAATTGGAGAAGCATCACAAGGATTAATGATCGAGTTGAGGACATTAAAAAGAACCTAAGGTTTATGGCTGTTTTTAGAGATTAACAGAGAAATGTGCTCCATTTTGGCTGCTTTGACTGCCGTCTGGTAGTCGGAAAGGGAAGCACGAAGGATTTCTAAGGAGACATGGAGTTTATCCTTTTTCTCTTTTTTCCTTTTTCTTCTTTCGCCTGCAAGCGCGTCTAAGAGCGCGAGTACAGTCATTAAGCCACGGCTCTAAGAGAACTTTGTTGCGTCTAAGTGTAAAAGGAGCAACGGAATCCAGTATTAGTGTGCATGTCGAGTCAAACATGGAGATAAGCTCATCAGCACTAAGAGCACAGTTCACCTCTAATTTATAGATCGGAGAAGCATTAAAAGCATCTGAAAACTGTGAGGCAGTCAAGGGGTTAATTGAACGCAGACAACACTCAGGGGCACGTGATTCGACTCCCGCAGAAGGGATCGTGTTTGTAAACAGAACCGGTAAATGGTCTGAGATACGCGTTGCTGCACAGATTTCATCCACAGAGATAAACAGTCCAACGATAATACTAAATCTAAGGTGTGTCCTTTATCGTGTGTTGTGCCAGCCACGGACTGAATGAGACCGAAAGAGTCAAGTATTCAGTTTCGGTGGCATTTCTTCCAGTTTGTCCAAAGGTCTTCTCATCAGGGCTCAATAAATAAAGAACTACGGCAGATCTGTAATATGTAATGCAGCCGGACCGTGTATTACAATGCCGTTATGTGATGACTTTCAAAGAGAAAAGCAAGAACACTCGGAATTAAGTATTATTTTATTTTTTAAAAATGTTTTTCAGATTTCATATCACATAAACACCAAATCCCAACATGCATTGCGGCTAAAAGATCCAATCAGCGAGCTTAAACCATAGCTGAGAATCTGGGGTAATCGCTCGAAATTCCTACGTCTGTTTCCGGTTATTTTTATTTTGAAATTCAGTTCCTGACCGACGCCAAACAAGCCCGAGATTATGGAATTAAACAAATAAATTAAAAAAAGGATAATTCTGTGTTATTGGTGAGTAAATAGCAGTGTGTTATTTAGAAAAGAATAAAAAATTAGAAGGAAAAAAAGATTTAAAAATATATAGATTTCAGTATTCTGAGGCTCTGAGCCCCATTTATTTTCCTCACAGACGACCAAAAAAAGTCCGACATTATACGATTTAAAATAAAAACAATAATCGTGGCTTGATATTGAGTAAAAACATGTTTTTATGAACCCCACAGCTTCTGGTCTTCCAAGACTTGAACGGACAAAAAGACGTGCTGCAGGCACGAAACATACTACCAATAGAAATACATTGCTTTTAAAATTGTTCTGTGTGACACGAAAAAAAGGGGAAAATCGTGTTGGTGAACACGAATCAATAGATTAAATGTCGTGACTATAACACGAAATGCCATGAGACTGGGTTGGGATATCAGCATAGCCACCAAAGCACTCTTGATCACGTAAATCGAGCCCCAGCCCCTGACTTATGTGGCTTTTCGTTCTTTGTGCTGGCCGAGCTGATAGTTGGGGCTGGAGTTGAACTGGTTTTTGGTGTTGCCGCGTTTGAAACACACAAAAACTGTTTCGCAATCTGGCACCGGCTCCCAACTGGCCCATGAACCACCTCATTGGAAAAGGGCCTACCCACCAGCTCCCCAGCCCATGCCCTATCTGGCAAACATTGTCTCCACCGAAAACGTGCTTCTCTTTCTCTATCCTTTTGGCAGTTCTGTTGCATTTGTTGATTGCGAGACCTTTGGAGGTTGGAAAGGCTACTTGGACCCTCCGCCCCCTCACCTCCCACGCCCCCCTGCTCTCTGCTCTTCCCTGTCACTTGCTTGGCTACATACTAACTCGCTGAAGGAGGATAATTAGTCAAAGTGATTTAGTGCATCCCCCCACTCCCCCACTCTCTTTTGCCTGCATCTGCTTAGCACAGCTTGGCATGGAAGTCATGGAAATGTCAACACTCGTGCCATTTGGTTCTCTCGTTAGACTTGACAGCATACACACAACAGGTGAAATAGACACAACATATTTGTAGTTTGTATCTGCCCACTTTGGATTGAACCAATGAATGAAATATAACGGAGGAAAATATATGTGCTTCACATTATGTCAGATCATGCCTCAATGAGTTTGACTGTCATTTTAATTGGTGTTGGAACATTTAAAGTCTTGAGCACATTTTTGTCCAGGAAATATCATTAACAGTCTTTTGTTGTAAAAAAATATAAAGACGCGATAAGGAATTTCCAAAATAAAAGACGATTATTGAGTTGCCGCCAGTAACAGTTAGGATTTAAGGTGGAGATCCTGTTTTCATGGATGCTTTAAATGCAGGCCGCACTTTACCCTACGGGATAGAGTAAATACATGTCATTAGAAAGCAAATGAATATAAACAAAGAGTTTTTCTGTGAATAAATTATTGTTTACACATTGTCTTGCTTAAAATGAATAAAAGTCCAGCCCGAAACATTGCAATACGTTTCATGCCTCATTAAATGCCAGCTGTGAGCTCCAGAGTAATCTGATTTATCATTGTGCTTTGTCAGAGAATGCAGGTTTGTTTGGAGACAAAAGGACATCAGTGAGGATGTTGAGCAGCTAGGAGTATATGTAGGCAAAATGGAAAATGAATAATTTATTTGGGGTTAAGGAGCCGAAGATGACCGCAACAACCCTGCCGTTGAGATTTGTTGGAATGCCATTATTTCCTGTTATCTCTCGACTTTTAAATAACACACAAAGGCATGCCCTTAACAAAAATAAGATTTGCTAAACCAGAATTTCTGCTAAGACACTTTCCTTTTGATTTTTGAAAACTTAATTTGTTAGTGCTGTGAGCACTACAAATGGAACTCCATTCACCTCAATCACATTGAAATGGATGTTTGACAAATCAAATAAAAACTAATTTCATGGCTAGAAACAACAAGTCGGAAAAGCTATCTTGATATTTTTTTGTCCGTTGGGGGAACCAACCCTTTAATATTTATTGAATACGTTAATCTATTAAAACAATTCAAATTCTGATGGAACACAGTCTTCACAAAAGTCTCACAACAACCATTGGAACAAATAAGGGGGTTTTCATAGTTAATCTTATTCCGAAATGTTTCACACATTCTTCGCCCGTAGTAAAATCGAGCAGAGCAGTGATTTACTGACTTGTGAACAGTGGTTGGATTGAGAACACCCACCACGCTTGGGATCCTTTCCTATTATCCCACGCCCATTCACAGGATTATTACAGCAAGGTTCATTTGTGGAGGGCAGGATTACCAACGCCTTGCATCTTCCTTTATGCTTCTTTTAATAGCTAGGTGGTCATTGTGTGTCTGTTTGTAGCAGTGATCTCTATAAGGTTTCTGCATTAGTCTTGAGGGAAAGCAGGCAGTACTACTTGTATTCCAAAATGTTCTGAGGCAAAGATTTTTAATCTGCATTGTATACCATTTTTTATTTGGAGTTCTTTATCTGTGAATTCAAATAAAGAACGTATACACACAGTAGGCTATGTGTGTTATTTGTGGTTAAAGGGATCACTGAATAATTGTATCGAAGTGTGAAGTCAAACCAAAATAAATATCCTGTGCAAACGCACATCGAAAAGGCTTGGGTTGTACCAAATTATACATTTGATTGGTTGTCGAGTTGGTATGTAAATACTTACTGGTGTCTGGTTGTCTTGCTACAGCTCTACAGCTCGGTGGAGTTTGGAAGGAGATGGCAGGTGGTTCACGAGAGAGTGGCTCCCAATCGCTTCTACTGGTAAGTACAGACATATGGACTTTCACTAGCAATGTTGTTTAAAGATTTAATGAAGGAGGTCCAATAAATGGATGTTGGGTGGGGGGTTAAAGGCGCATTTCCGCTGGTAGAATAAGACATTCAGAAATGTTGCAGAAGTTGAATGGGAAAGCATTAGAGTAGATGGGTACAGAGGGTGAAGGGATGAAGGGCGTGAGGGATGAAGGGAAATAGGGTTGAAGGGATAATGTGAGTTAGGGTTGAACCGATGTAGGGATGAATGGATGATGGGGTTGATGAGGTTGGTGAAGTGATGTGGGTGAGGATGAAGGGATGAGGGTTAGGATGAAGGGATGAGGGAATGCAGGGGTTGATGGGTGGAGTGGTCAAGGGGTTTGCATGATACCTGGTACCTGTCTTTGTGAATATGTTTGTAAATGGTACCCCTGTCATTATGTTGTATGTGTTTTCTTTTTTTTCTTCTGTTACATGTGTAATCAATGTGGGGCAGGTCCCCCTTGTAAACGAGATCGTTGATCTCAATGGGATTTTTACCTGGATAAATAAAGGCTACAAACAAACATACACATGATGATGAAGAAGGGCTGAAGGAAGTTTGGGATGAAGGGTTTTCGGGATAAAGGGGTCGATGGGCATGGGTTTAACGATGTTGTTGAGGATAAATGAATGAAGGGAGTAAGTGATGGAGGTATGCAGGGAGGAGGGGAGTAAGGTATTAAGGAATGAGGGGAGGTAGGAATGAATGGATGTAGGGATGAATGGATGAAGGGGTCAATGGGTGTAGGGTTGAAGGGATGTGTGTGAGGATGAAGGGATGCACTGTAGGGATCGACGGGTGAAGGGATGAAGGGATTTGGCTAAGGTTGAGGTAGGACAAAATGATAAAAATAATGCTGCTGACAAGCTAACTGGTTAGCATCGTAAGCTAATGTAACAATAATGGTAATGTTTGCTCATACACACTGACACTACAGCTTAAGACAACAGCCACATTTTTCATTCTAACCACCTCACAGCTAATACTGTTTATTTAGCTAGCAGGCAAAATGTGAAGTCAAATATTTGGACTAAAGGTCTTCTAGGATGTTAATGAACATGAATAAAGACAATTACTCTGGTACTTTTGCAACACTTTTTATAAATCAGCTTTTATTTGATTAATTATAATTTTAAGGTTAAGACGTTTTAACATATGTGCACAGGATTGGCCCATTGTTAGGAAAGCATAGGAAAACTATACTTCCTGATAACACAAAACTAAAAGACTGAACAACACTTTATGGAACTTGAACATACTGTAAATATGTTCTTAAAACAGTCACAATAATTGCGTGACAACAACTCTTATGTTAAACTAATCAAATGAAGAGCACTTTTGACATTGTGAATGTCCTCGACATACTACATCTTCTCCACAAAGGGAGGAGCATCTGAGCCAGAGAGGTTTTTAAGATTTGTATTATTCATGTGTCTGACATGCTTGATCTTGCTCTTTGGCAGACAGTTACATTATATGACCGACAGTGTTCAGCTGTGGTGAGAAGCTTCAATCTGAGTTGCTATCCTTTGAGACGAAACAAAGCATACAGAGATTCAAACCATCCAATGGTTCCTCTCAGCATGGCCTTATTTCGATGTGTATCTTGAATTGTTCCATAGTTATTGTTTAATCACTTCAGATTAAAGGTCACCTATTATGCAAAATCCACTGTTGCATGTATTTTATACATAAACATGTGTCCCCTCTGTGTAAAGAGAGTCTGAAAATTTCAGGAAAAAATATTCGCTCAATTTTTTTCCTGATCCATTTATATAAAAACCTGTCTGAAAATGAGCTGATCAGATTCAATCAATGTTTATTTATATAGCCCAATATCACATATGTTACATTTGTCTCAGTGGACTTCACAGTTTGTACAGAATATCAGTATGACAATACAGGAAGATTTTGGCCACTTCATGATGTCATACCGAGTTTTTGGCTTGTATAACCATGAGCCAATCACCAACCAAAGTAACCCCCCCCACCTTATCACCTGAATCTCCTCCTAGAGCTCCATTACGTTCTTTTTAACCAAATATCTTTCATCTAAAGTAACAGAAAGAGAATCAACACTTTTGAAACAGGGCTGAAACAGAGGGGGTTATGGGATGCTACAATTGATGATCTGTTTGGTATTTCGAGCCAAACACATGTTTTTTATATATCTGAGACCTATAATATATTGATGAAAAAAATTATAATTGGGGACCTTTAAGTCTTACAAAACTTTTAACTGTTACATCTACCTTTAGGGTTCCATGCTTTAGAGTCTTTCCCTCAGCTAAATGGTCTCAGGCCACAGGTAGTATCCAACTCACAGGAATCTGCCCTGTCTGGCCTCTATACAATAACTAACTGTAACAAAGGATTTTGCCTCAACAAACTGTCAGGGTGGTAACAAGCTGGGCAGCCAGGAGTGAAGGGAGCCTGGAGGGCTGATGCTGCAGAAGCTGTCAGAGTTCTATTTTGGGAGACGACCGTGTGGTAGGTGTGGTGCTAGCCCTGGTAATGAGGCTGCAGAGCGAGCTTATGCCTGCCGTAAATGAGGCCACCCAACATGCAAAGAAGAGGAAGAGTCGTAAGCTCATTTTTGATTTGGTCAACCTGAGCAGTTCTTGGTCACGCAGCACAGGTCAGCTTAAGTCGAACTAACCTTCACTCATTGAGCTATAAGCTAGTTAAACCGTGGAATGTATCACATATGACACAACAGATCTCTACAAAACATCTGGAGCTGCCTGAATGAAATATTTTCAGAAGGGTATTGTTCCACCTGTTGTGACATCTTTCCTCCCCAAAAACCAAACAGCTGTCCAAATGAATGTCGTACACACAGAGAGAGACACTACTGTAAGCTGTGAACCCTACAAGCTAAGTGAGCTTCCCATCACTTAGCGGTAAAACCCCACGAACCATATAGCTGCTTTTGCTCAAAGGGTTATTATTTTCCTGCCGCACACTGTTCTTGGAACCTGAATGGATTATTCAACGGGAATGCAAATGCAGTTTGGATAAGTAGACCATCCTATTCAAAGTTGTGTTTCATCTTGGAAATCCCTAATACTACCAGTAAGTATGATTAGGAGCCATAGTGGTCTCTCACTGTGCCTCATTCACTTCACACAGGCAACCTTTATTCCTTTTTCTCTTTATGCGTGTGCTACCTGCTCAATCACCCACCTCTCCCTCCACATGTGTGCTGCCTTTGCCTTTCCTCTCATCCCCCAGTCTTTTTAATACATATTTAATGCCGTAATGATTATATGCTATTCCATCTGTGGACATCCCTACTGTAGAGGGAAAATCAATGGCTTCTCCTCTACTAATGATGTCAGGAAACGTCTTCTTCCATTCATCTAAGGGGGGAAATAATACCTTCTGGGAGCTATAAACATTTAGATCACACAGTAAACCCCCAGGTCATTTTTGCTCACACTTTAAAGTGCCATCAACAATGAAGAAAAGGCAATACCTAACTGATGTTTACCACAACTGCCATAGCACTTGTCTTAACCGCTCTTTAGTTACATTTGTATGACTTTGCAAAGTGCAATCCATCAGGTCAGGTTGCTGCTACAGTCTGCCCGAAGGCAAAATACCGGTGGTAATGCTCCTGAAACACATTTGTCTGCCTTTCAGGTCGAAAATGGGTTTGGACAAAGAGCCGGGCTTAATTCACCTGGAAACCAGCATCTCTGAAGGACGTAAGTAATTGAATTCCGGGTTCAGAGCTCCATTTTCCCATGTCTTTGTACTGTATCCTGAGCAGTGTGCTAAAGTAGAGGGGAATTGGGAGTTGTGTAGAGAACTCGGATAAAGTGTAGTGCAAGGGGACAACAGAAATGGTCGAGTCCGGGGACAGACAATGACAATGGAGGAAAAAGTAATGCATATATTAGAATGCTTTTAAAACCAACTGATTTAGCTCACACTACATAATAACTATAATAATGGGATATTATGGGTTGATCAATAGTATTTGGTTAAGTGAGTCTAATTTAAGAATGCTTAGAAAAAATCTAGTTATTATTATTATAAATATATTCATTATACTTTTATTAAACTATATATTATTCGTATTACTATTATTATTGTATTAGTCGGAGTCAAAATAATGACTTGGGTGCATTGTTATTTTCATTTTTGTAATTCTAATAATGTTTATATGTTTATACTATGATTATACATTATTATACTATTTATTATACATTATTATTATGATCATTATTATAATGTTGAGTGTCTGAAAAAAAATAGTTTGTTTGAATTATTTTTGTATTATTGCAAGTATAATAATTTAGACACTGTCAGTATACTTTAATATTATTATTATTATTATTATTATTATACATTTTTGGCAAATTAGGATTCAGTGTTGTCAAAGCTTGATCCATACCAGGGTTTGAAAGTCAGGATACCTCAATCCCTACAACAATTTAGACCCTTACATTTTGAAAGCTGTATCTTTTCACCCTAACTTTTATAACTGTTGTTGGAGTTTCACTTTAATGAATACATGTTGGATTTGTTTTCTTAGCTTTCAGAAAGTCCATTAAGCATCAGTGCCACTGTTCTGTCAGAACACTTACACAATAGAGAAATGCCAATCATGCAAACAGACGAAGCAAACACCAGAGGTGTAAGATATTACGGTCGCACACACAGCCACAGACTTTCACTATTGATCATGTGCTTGCAAGCAAAGCAGACATATATTTGGCAGAGGCTAACGTGCGGGGACAGGCTCTCACCCAGCACTGTGATTGAAGGCAAAGAAAGCAATTGGCCTCTCCGGTCATTTGTCTTCCCCCTCTGCTGCCCCCCCCCCCTCACTGGGACCACTTTATTGACACGAGTAATGTAGGAGGCCAAAAGAAGCTCTGGGTGAAGGCTGCCTTTCTTCATTGGCTAATACCATCACTGATGCCATGGCTTGTGTGTGTGTGTGTGTGTGTGTGTGTGTGTGTGTGTGTGTGTGTGTGTGTGTGTGTGTGTGTGTGTGTGCAGAGGCACTGTATGTCACCTGCAAGCTGCAAAACTGCACAGATGCCAACAAGGGCAAACCATTCCCGGGCTACATTGACCCCAATTCTCTGGTGGTGCAAGATGAGTATGTGTTTGTCCAGGTGAGTAATTGTCCAGTTTGCTCAGTGAACAACATTATAGCAATGTATGAGGCAGAAAGTATTTTGTAGGACATTTCCCAAGGTCATTCTAGGAGAGATGCTATTAGTGCAGCTTTATGTGTTGCTGTGGTGTCTCCAAAATGTTTTCACTCAACGGCTTCATCACTTTAAGGTGTCAGCCGCGGGGAGGCCAATCTACTATGTGTCTGCTAAAAGAGATGTCTTCACACCAATGAAGCTACCCAAGTACACACTGCCCAAGGTAAACACACTGCCTGATTAGAATTCAACTAACAAGATCTTGATGATTACAAAATAATGAATGGATCATTGGTATTGATCCCAATCCTATCAAAGGTCACCAATAATATACAAAAGATGAAAAAGGAAAATTTTATGCTTATTTTCAGGTTCATATCTGTATTTTGCGCTTCTACTGTGATATGTTTAAATAATGTATGTTTAAAAAGTACTTTATTTTTCTCCTACTGCTTATGACGCATCATCAAGCCCCTCATTAGGGTCTTAAAGTTGTAAAATGTGCTAAAAGAGAAGTTCAGAGTTATTTTCCCTTTACATTAATTTGACTGAGCCAAGTGAGAGGGAGATTTGAGGTAGGGTTTAAGGAAAACTCAAGTGCACATGCTCTATTGGATACGGGTACATTTTGAATCTAGTCACTCAATTCTGGGCTTCATTTGCTACCAAGCAACTTTAATAGGACTTACAGGGCCATTCTCCGACGCTGTTTCCAGTTGTCTTTATACATTCATGTGCAGCACCTCTTTTCACCATCTGAATGAAACGATAGCCCGGTCTGCTCTGATCGGTTAGCTGGCTGGCACTTATGTTAGTGGTCAACTGCTTAGAGATGTGCCGGAAATGTCCCGCCCCCTAGCCTACCACACACATTTTGTTGGAGCGCTAGCCAATAGAAGCGCAAGTTTTACTTATCGATGTCAATTTGTAACTGAAGTAAACAAGGGCAAATGGAGGCATCCAGGCAGCGGGTTGAGTGTGGGGGAGAGAATTTGGCCTTTGCAGACCATTTATATGCACTAAACACTATATAAAACACTACAGAAAGAGAAAAGCACAAAAGGGCCTCTTTAAGATGTAGTTAATCCTGCAGTTTGTCGACTTTTTATGCAATCAATGGCAGATAATATGCTTCCACCTCTGTTCGCTGAAGTTGCAGTGAGGCGTCACTTCATCGCTGGCTCCGCCTGACACTCCCCCACGTTGTTATTTATGGACAAATCAAGGCCAAAAGTAACTCTCACAGTGTTTCCAGAATTGTTATTCCGTGCAGCAGTGTACGCATGGCCCTGGCTTGTCACGTCCCCATTGACAATTAGACATGTTTTATTCAATCAAGCCCCAGGCGCCCCGGTTGCTGTCGGCTCACTGCGAGGTGTTTTTGGCACAGTCAGAGGTAGATGAAGCGCACAACCAAACAGCATGGCCTCAGCTGCATAATCTCTGCCCAATAAGCCTGACAAAGGTATAACGATTGTAGTATCCTCTTAGTTAAAATATGGGAAAATCAGAAGATGAGGCTATTCTGATTATTGACTATGATTAAACCCAGCATGGGGGCAAAAATAGTAAACAATGTAAAAGCTTGGATATTTCACTTTGAGAAACAAAGATTGTGTTTTTGATTGTAATGGGCACATTAATTGATTTTTACGGTTAGCTGATTATATATCCTATTCATTTTGGAATAAATAAAACTCCAAGGATTACATTTAAAAGAAGGTGCCTTTCATTTAAAGTTACACTATGTTCATTGTTGAGAATACAGTAAACTATAGAATTACAGCTGCCAGCATTACACATACTGCATTCTGCTCAATTTCCTGATAAAACAAGAATATTTGTCATTTTAAAGAGGCCCCATCATGCCTTTCCAGTGACTTATGATGTTCCGTGTGAAGTGTTTGTGCATGTAAATGGTCTGCAAAGGCTAAAATCCCAAACTTCCCTCCAGAGGGAGTTTCTCTCCCACACACTCCAATACACATATATGTAACACTCGCGCTTCTATTGGCTAACATTCCAATACATTGTACGTGATAGACTAAGGGGGGGAGACATCTCTAAGCGGTTGACCAATCACAACCGAGCCGTCCAGCTGACCAATCAGAGGAGACTGGGCTCACTCAAGAGGTGCTGCAGCCAGTATGAGAAAAATAAAGACCTTTTTGAACATCAAAGCATGGAAACATGTCACAGTAGAGACACAACATTAAAATATGAGGCTGAAATTGAGCATTGAGGGCCGCTTTAAGAGATTCAGTAGATGTTAAAAACGAAATACATTTCAAGTTATAACAACCTTTTTTTTCTAATGAAATACAAAATTATTTAAAAGAAAATTAGCTGTTGAAATAAAATATGGCTACACTTTATTTTCATTTACACAACACAAACATATCTTATAAACAGGAAACACATATCTTACATGACAGCCTGTACATAAAGCAAAACATAATAAAAGGGAATATTTAAGGACTATAATACACTGTGGTAACCTGTTACATTATGTATCATTTGAATACCCTACTGGTATTAACGTTGCCTCTCTTCCAGGACCTGCATGTGATCAGCACAGATGAGAACCGTGTGGTTGCGGCAGTACAGGAGTGGAACCAGAACGAAACCTACAACCTGTACGTGTCGGACACGTCGGGGGTGTACTACACCTTGGCTCTTGAGAACGTGGTCAGCAGCATGGGCCACGAGGGTAACGTCATGGTGGACCTCTATGAGGTAAGCAAACATGACTATGTTTTAGTTTTTGATCAGTTTACCGCACATCCCCAACGTCCCAACGCAACCTCTTGCTGTGTTCTTTCTGGCCAATTTACTCTTTTTATATAACACTATCAAACAAAGGCGTGCTTGATGGGTGCTCAGCCTGCAAGTTTAATATGAACACTGATCAATATTTTATAGCTGGGAGGCAGAGATGATGAAATGTACTTGTTTTGTCACTTTGGAAACAACCCCTGCTGCTGTAGGCCTACAGTCTTCACAGTGCATTGTGTGAATACGAAGTAGCTTCAAAGTGCTGACACTAACAAAAGTAAAAGGGGGGGATTGTGCCAGGGATATGGATTTTTGTAAGGCTGAGATTATTTCTTTCTTTGATGAATAACTGCAGATATTACTTCACAAAATGCACCTAATCCAAAATGGAAAAAAAGTGTGTTGGGGGCTAATGTTGAAGCTTAGTTATTGGGATTTTAAAGACATAGCCGCACTAGCTGAAAGTATATCTCTCTATCTGAATCATATAATTAAGCTGTTGATGATGCTGCTCATGTCTTGCCGTGGCCTTGGCGTTCAAATCAAATCCACTGCCTTGATTGGGGTCGCCACCCAAAACGTAGGATATGGTAAATCTCTCCTCCAAGGGAGATTGAAGTATCTGTCAATTACTAAAGTGGAGTTTCATCGGCTCATGAGACTGTCACTGACTCAATTCAGTAGCCCTTAGCTATTCCTAAGGCCCTCCAACAAGGAGTCAGATTCATTTAAGACACGCATTGATTACTCAAAAGTCCCCAGACAGTCAATCATTTCCCACTCAGTGTTTGTTTTTTGTTGGGAATACAGAATAGGTAAACTGTTGCAGGGTTAGGATGGTTGATTTAAAAATGTATTCTGTTGCAATTACAAGTGACCTGCAAGAAAATATAACCTAATCTGAGTATCACAATATAAAAGTAATGTAACCTGATTACTTTCCGTTTCTTTTGGGCAGAAGTTTATACACCAACTACGAAACATATGAGCACATAGAAGCAGAAATATAATCTAAGCTGACATAAAATGCTCCGTTCTAATTTAATACATACAGTTAAGCTCACACACTTTTTTATTTAAAAAAAAATAACAGGTTCACCTACTTTAATAAAAGAAGAACAAATGAAGCAAGAAAGTCAAAACTATAATGCAAATTCAGGCAGTATGTAGGTAGTTACATGATCCCGTTGCTCCCCAAGCCTGCTTTTGGCTAATTGAGAATGGTCATTGTCAGTAAAATTGCAGTGGGCCTTGGATAGGAAGCAGAGCATACAGCAAGCAGTTGGCTTCCTGAACACTTATCTCTAATGGCGGTCCTCTCCTAATTATGCTTAACTTACACCTTCAAACTATTAAAACATGATTAGGGTATAAATAGAATTCAGCCCCTGTACAAATGTCGGGAATACAGAAATTAGCTTTAAAGACCATACCATTGATTTTGGACAAGGCTGTAAAGATGGTTCTTTCTTATGTAAAGTTGTGCATTTATTTATTTTTTAAGCAGATCCTAGTGGGCATTCACTGAACTGCAGTTTGTGGAACTTCCGCCTAGGCTACAATGCTCAGCCGCAGAGATTGCTAACAACACTAAAGATGTTCTTGACGTTGTTATATTAATAAAAACGTTTGTAGTATATGAATACACCTTTTTAATAAGCAGAAAACAATCACACTCATGTGTTTGGAATTCACAGGAACAGCAGTTGATATAATAGGAATACTAATACAGTAACCTTTTGAAATCAAGCTTGGTCGAACCCCAGTCTTTTGCCATGCAACCCTTGCTGTTCTGACACCTGGCCACGGTTAGAGATGCAGCTTTATCTTCATATTAAGCATCTTGCTGCAAAAATAACACTGTTTCTTGCTGTTTATGCCTTTTCATGTAACTGTAGGGGAATACAGTTACCGTTTTGTGTGTCCTGATTACGTAATCTCGTAACACCCCAAGCCTGAGCATGTGCGGGTATTTTCTGCATTGTGACTCAAAGATACAGATATGTTTAGTATTTTTTGGACATGTGAAGTCTGTTTTCAATCGGAGCTGTCTAATTCCCCAGGTGGCTGGAATAAAGGGGATGTTCCTCGCCAACAGAAAGATGGATAGCCAAGTGAAGACACACATCACCTACAACAGAGGCAGAGACTGGAGCCTCCTGCAAGCCCCGACCAAAGACCTGAGGGGCAACAGCATCCACTGTGAGCTGGTAAGCATCTCCGTTCATACATGTTTTTGTACGTGTGCGATTCCATCAAAGAGCAGCTCTGACAGGAGTTGATTGATCCCGCCAGCAATGAGGGGCCGAGCTCAGAAAGAGCAGCGCCCGTCAAAGCTGAGTGCTCTGAGGCTGTTATGCTGAAAGGTCAGCTGTTTTGATTCAGTCCAATAAGCTGACCTCCCATTTAAGCTACAAAGACAAAGAGGTGTCAAACAGAAAAGCTTCTTACTTCTTGAAATAATCGGAAAGTTGGGCAAGTATAGTCGTATTTTCACTCTAAAGCGAATTTACCAAAGTTAATCTTACATTGTGTCTTGAGTCTACAGATGGGTTAGGGTCATGTTATTGCAGGGGGTGGAAGAAGTACGTAAGTTGCGATAATTTCAAAAAAGCGCAGGGCTCAACAAAAACTTTGAGCGATGCACAGCGCTAGGGGTTGCTCTTCAAGGTAGTCGTGATACACCACTCTCTACATAGAAACATAACAGCAACGCCAGCGCAGAACCATTTTGCCATGTATCGTTTCAGTGTAGCTTCAGCTCCTCTTCAGCAGGCGTTTTAAATATTCCTAAAGTCCCTCAAAATAAATGAGATGAACCAGCTTTTATCCACTAAACTCCCAAACACTGGAACACCCTACCAGGATATATAAGAGGCAAAAACGTATTATTATAATTATTTTCCTTTTTTAACAGCTAAATGTACTTAAAGTATCAAAAGTAAAAGGTACTCATGAAGCAGAATGGCTCTATTCACATAATTTATTAAAAATATATAATGTGAATAATAAATTACGTAGTTTTTTCACAACAAAAATTCGTAAAACAGCATTTTAATATTGTCAATTTGGAGTCAATTGTAGAAACTTATACTTCGCAAAAAGGTTTCTGAGATGTGCCTGGTGCTCTTCTTCAGAGGAGCTGGCGACAAGGATGTCGTCTAAATAGACAAAGATGAATGGCATGTCTCTGAGTGCCAAATTCATCAGCCGCTGAAAGGACTGAGCTGCATTCTTAAGTCTAAACAGCATACCCAGAAACTCGAACAGCGTAATCACCGCAGTAATGGGGACGTCCGAGGGGTGCACCGGAACCTGGTGGTAGCCCCGCACCAGATCCACCTTGGAGAAGACCAGCTTGCCCGCCAGGTGTGCAGACAAGTCCTGGAAGTGAGGGACCGGGTAGCGGTCTGGCCACTGGCGGCACATATCAAACCCGGGCCGGGGGGCGGGGCCAGATGACCGGGCCCTTTAAACCCAATAAAGCTTGACAAAAATATCGGGAGTCCGGGGTATGGTAATCTGACGCTCGTGCGTAAAAAGTCGCTCAGTCAGTAAGATTACAATTTAAAACAATGTTTGAAAGAAAAGTAACTAAAGAAAAGGTGTAATATTTAAGATTTCGTTTCTGCAAAGGGTATAGAAACGAAATATATATCAGAGATAATAATGATATAACATGACATAAAGTCCAACAAACCACAAGGACAACGAAAACATAGCCTAATAAAATGACTACATTTCTGACACACCATTCACCATGGACAGCCAGCCGCCACCATGAGAGCACAGCAGTGTAAAATTGGCACGGCGGCCCATACATTCACGTACAAGTAGGCTACTGTACACATTACATTTGAAGTGTACTCCCCACTACTTGAAGGGCACTCGGCGAGCCTTGCGCTCCGCGAACTCGTCCACACACCGCTGTATGTCCAATTTCTTGGCTCGGTCACTTTCGATGGACAGCAAGGCCAGTCCACTCAGTCTCTCCTGTCCCATCGTGCTCCTCAAATAGTTTTTGATGAGTTTTAATTTGGAGAAAGAGCGCTCGGCGGTTGCCACGGTGACAGGAAGAGTCAGAAATAAGACGAAGGCTGTGCAAACCTCACTGAATGTAGTCAGTCTGAGATGTGAGATGTGACTGCTGGGGGTTGTTATAACAATGAGCTAGTGTAGCCAGAGCCTTGCGGTATCAATTTAGTTTGGTAGTTTTGTCCCTGATAGAGTCATGGGTTGCTGAAAGAAAGCAGCGGCTCAGGGTATGGCTGGCGGCGATATCCCGACTTTAGTGCTCTCTAAGCCGTCTGGCAGCTTGTCGTAAATCCTCATCCTTTGCATGTAGTAGTGTGGTGGTGGAATTTTGGCCTCAGAATCATGTCTACCAGTTGCATTTAAGATGGTGAAATCTTTGGGACAGTTGCTGGATGATTTATTATGCGAGATCATTGCATTGAAGATACGGTCTACGCCTGTGAGAGAGTGCGTCCTCTGGTCAGGAGCTGCGTTGTGTGCGTCAGAAGTTCTCAAAGTGTCTCTTAACACTGCTGCCGCTGGTTGTTTCAAACTGTGTTTGACGGGGTCGCCCATTAGGTGAGCCAAGCTGAAGGGGTGCGGACTGTGCTCTCGAGGAGGTTGTGCCCGTTATACTCGCGAAGCGCATGAACATTGGATGGTGTTGGGGGCATTTTTGCAGTAGTTAGGTAGTATGCTTTTGATGAATAATCCGGGTTCTGTTTCGCGGCTTGTGCTTGCCGGAGTAATATGAAGTGCACAAGTTAGTGACTTTCCTTGAGATATCTGTCTGCATGTTGAACCCTAAAATGATGGTAGAAAGCTACAGGTTGCTGTTATGCGATTCTGGGGAGGATCAACTTTCTTCATTGCGCTCATCCTTTTTGTCACCTGGTAAGGTATTTGACGAGGGCTTTTAGTTAAGTGTCGTCGCGAGGATCGTGCCCTTATATACGCAAGACAAGGGCGGGCATCA